CAGCGAAAAGAAGCAACGACCAGAGGCTACGAGAGGGAACGGGGGAACAGGGAAGAGAAATAAACGCCGCCACGAGCTTACCGAGGCCAAAAGGGTCTCTGGGAAGCGGAGACTATCCCACGACAGGACTTCAGCTTCCTTTCAGGATTCCCTCGCGCCGACCACTCGGCAGGACCGAGCTGGTTTAGCATTGTTTAATTCGAAAACTATGTGTACATAAATAACGTCCAAGAAGGAAAAATATCATAAATGCATGTATTGCATATCCATACAATAATTGGTCTTACAATCGATTAACGACTAGCCTATGGAATAAGTGCATGTTATAGGATTACAAATTCTAGTTCCAAGAATCTCTACAAACCCTGTTACTTGAAGCGTAAAAACCAGCGTAATAGAAAAATTGACATAATTCGCGAGTAATGAGTAGGTTGACTGCAAAAACGACGTTTTACGGTTTGCTAAGCGTAATCACGGTAGCAACGGAATTACAGGCTTTCTACGTTTCACTGATAAACAGAACGGTGGCGGAGAAGTTGATCGGTTTTCACGGTCCAGGTTTAGCGGCTCATTTAACGAGATATCGATCAGCGAATTCGACAGTTTACCGCGGTAACGCGGTTCTCGATGCAACCGCCCCGGTACCTGTGTCACGGGGATTAAATCGAGCAGCACGTTGCACTGCCGACCACGCCCAGTGAAAACGCGCACGTTGGGTCTGATTTAACCTCGCCTAGAGTCGTCATATTCGTTGGCAAACCTTCTTGCAGTCGTGAAAGGGTTACACGATTGTTCCCGCGACCGAGTTTTCCCGTTGTTCCCCCTGTAACGTTTAGCGAACGCTCTCGAGCACTTTTCATCCTTTCTTTCAACCCTGTCCGGCTTTTCACTCGTTCTCAGAAAAATGCTTCGTGAAACAGAATTTTCGATGATGTTTTTCACCGTGCAAGTTACAATAGCACATTCTGCTATTTTTTATTTCTATACAGAAATCGAGAATAATTTAAATCGAAATGAACTTTCGAACAATTCAAATTAAAAAACACCTGAAGCATTTTGTGTTCTAAGAATTCTGATCTAAATTACTGATGCGCGAAATATGTGTCGGACCGAACGCGAACGTGAGCCAAGAGAAGCGCCAGTATCCGTTTCAGGGAGTGTGTCCCGTTTCTGGATAAAGTGACATTCCTGGAAACGAGACGACGCCAATAGGCAAGGGAATTCCTCTCAGCGAACGAGCAGAGAACTCGCCGACACTTACGGCATCGGCTCTAATTAGTTGTAATTAGAAGAAGGTTCGCGGACGGCGTCACAAATTGAAACCGGCGTAAACCAATCTAGAGGAGAGCGCGCGAGAAGAAGAACTCGCTACAACGAATAGAGTCAAACGAATCGGCCGACTGTAATAAAATCGCGTTTAGACGATGCGACAACGACGCGTAGCATCTTTGCTTCGAACTAATCTGCTATGTTACGAACATTTTATCTTCAATTAATAATCTAAAGTGATAAATTACGTCGAACCCTTTACTTTCTTACCAAACTTGTTTATAAAAATCGACTCATAGAAAGATCGTGTTATCGCTGAAACGGAGGAACGTAATTGACTTAAACGACAATGATAACGAAATATAGGTCGTTGCTGTAATCGCAGTTCGACGACCGCAATAATTCTGTGTCTGGCATGAAATATGCTGAATTGGTCATCACGCAATTTTCAAGAAAACGCTATCTCGGTACCGTTCAGATGCTAATAGGGTGACTTACAGAGCGCTCAAAGGCGTCTCGTGTAAAATCAACTGAGAAAATCTCAGAACGGGACCGACGACGTTTGCTATTGATTAGAGGAATTAAGTCGTTCCCCTTAGGTGAGAACAGTTGGAAAATATGAAGAAAAAATGTTCCTCGTTATGAGATCATAAGATGTCTAATCTAATGTAAGCTATTACCGGGTTTTTGTTTCCGTGGGTAAGAGAAAGCATTGTATTGTTAAACACTGTCAGTGAAAAGAACAGCTATGTGTATCTTCAATTATGTATTTAAATGATAGACATGTAATTTCAAGAACTTCCGCATCTCGTGAATATTTTTTAATTTTTAATCAAACTCTATTTTATTGATTCTAAGCGATCTTACGTGGTCCAGAGAAGTCCTAACAGGACCTTAAGACCAGCAGGAGGGCACGAATCGGACCCTGCACGATGCGCAGGAATGCGTTGAGATATTTCGCGAGTCCTGGGGTGGGAGTCGGGATTCCAGCGAAAGAGGACCAAGTCGGAGAAGAAAGGGAAAAAGGGAGGAAGAATGGAACGAGCAAAAAGGGGGGAACAAAAATGGGCACCGAAGAACGAACGGGTACACAAATTGCCATTGGGACGAAACCGCGTGTTCACCGCACGCGTTTCGCTCCGAATGAATCGAAAAATGGCTCGTCCGGAGATCGAATTCAATCGTCATTCGGCGTGTTTGAATTTCCTGCTGGTACCAATTGAACGGGGTACTGAAAACTCGTTCGACGTCCAATAGTGAAAGGCGGTGGCGATTACATCGCAACGAAGGCCGTTGGGAGAGTTTATTATCTAAACTCGAAACAATTTTCTGCGATAGTATTCAAGAGAAGATCTACATATTAAAAGTATCGTCTTAAAATTATAACGAATTTCGTAGCATGATGCAGGCACATTTATGTATCTGATTCGTAAATATCTCTAAGTTTTGATGAACCGTCGTCAATTGGGACGCGGCGTTGAAATATCAAACGTGATGATTAATGAACCAACCGAAGAGCAGCACGAAAGAGGTTAACCCCGGACAATACCTAGTGGTCTCGACAAAGGACCAGTTCACCGATCTCCCCGAGGAGCCTGGCAAAGATCTTCTCCCGTGAAAAGACTCATCTCGCGAAGGAACCTAGTTCCACGGTGTTACGAGACTCATCCAGGTCGCGTTTCTTCGACGATGCTATCACTTTTCTCTCACCGGGTAATTCTCTCAAGTGGACAAAGAACGGCCTCGGTTTCTCATTATCATAAAAACTCTTTTGCGCGTTGCTCCAACGCGAACGAACGACCTTCCAGCGATCCACGGTTTGGGCCGCGAATTCTGTCCCGGCGACGAAATGCCCTCGAGAATCCGTCCGGAAAAAGAGGTCGGGACGACAAAGGATTTCTAATGGACGTGCCGGGCACCCGAAGGAGGCCTTATAAGGCGAACATCTCGGGAAGGTGGCTCGCACAGCCTCCTTTCGGTATCTATCTCTCTCTCTCCCTCCCTCTTTCAGGGGTATCTCGTGGCGACTTCTGCGAGCGAGCACAGGCGCCTCCGTGGCCGGATTTAGACCGAAAAAGAAACACCGGGAGTTTCGGGAATGGCGACGACGACAAAGACGACGAACACGAGGCGAATGAGCCACCAGGCGATCGTGACCGGACCCGTGCGATCCGCCGATCGATACCACCCAGCCCCTGACTCCGTATTTTGCTGTGAAACGATCCTATAACCGGGCGTCCACGCCGCTTCTCGGAAGGCGTGCCAAATTTCTGCACGCTGCAACATACCTGTCGTCTTCGTTTTACTCCCTTTGGGATTCTTACGACTTTTTCTCTCGGAAGGTTATCAGCCAGCGGCTTCCCGAACGGGAGCTTTGATTTCGTTGGTAAACGATCTCCACGTGTTTGCGACTAATTAGTTTTTCGGTCCTAGTAGAATACCATTGCGAAAGATTCTCAAAAGCTCCCTCGGCTCGTTCTATATTTGAACCGCTCAGAAGTCGAACCGATCTAAGGTTTCAAAGTGATTTCGTTTGTAAAACGAATCACCTTATTTCAAACAATCGTCGCTCTGATAGAATCTGTGCAATCAGCCTCTGATCATCTCCTCGATTCGGCAGCTTCGATTGCAACCAAGTAAGTACACAGCTCAATTGGCAAAAGCTAATAGGACGGTGCGTTTCCCGCACGATTAGGACACTTTGCACCTACATAGGTAGGATCAGTAGATCGACTCGAATCGATCACCGATTGCTCTCTCTAGCTGTACATACATCACCGGCAAACAGAGCAATTCTACCGGCTTGAGCGTTTAACCGCGCTTCTGAACGTGTTCGCACACGGTGTCGTAAATTATGCAAGGGAACGCACGCAGTATATATACACGCCCGTCGCAGGATATGTCGCGTGCATACATATGTAAACGGCATGACGCATTCGCATTCATGTATGTAGATTCGAGAGACGGTCCGGGTCCTACGAGAAGCAATCGACTGGCCGGATCGAAGACCCCTTATTGTCGGATCGACATGAATACCGAGCGAAACACCGCGCCAATAGATAATCGCTAAGTGACTCTTTCCAGGTTTCACCAGTCGATTCTTGTTTTTCCAGTCATCTAATATCTATTGTTTATTAATTAAATATATAAATGTAAATTTCGTGGGAGCGTCGATGATTCACGTGTCTCTGCCTGTTATGATCGTAGCGACTTTTATTTTATTCAAATCGATCGCCGGATAGCAACTGTTACACGGGCGAAACTGTTTGTCCGTATTCAAACAGCTGCTTCTAAACGATGGAACTACGAGTAAGATATATGTGTGCCGATGTTCTTACGATTAATGGAACACAATAAAACGCACCTGACCCGCATCGTCCCATGCGCATTCAAACATGCCAGTTTGAATTCCGCGTACTCAGACAGAAAAGATCAATTCAATACAAGAATACATCGTGCGATAGAACGTTGTAAATAGCATTTGACTTGTAGTTCTCCCGCTTCTATCTATACAAAAAATTTCTCGTTTCTTTTCGCATCAGCCAGGATAAACCAGTACACCGTAAAGGACAACGCGAAGGCGAGAATCATGCAGCCATGTTTTCTCCCGCCACGGCGAGTCCTTCGACGGACTCGCTTCGAGGTCGATTTTATCCCGATAGGAAAATATCGCGAAGTCACGTAGCCGCGAATCGCAGCGCGAGATCGCGCTTATTCCACGGTTCGCTTACCATGTGCAGAAGATCCCTGAGATGCGGGGGACGAGCGGCCACCCTCGAGGACTTTGTTCTCCGTACCGAGACCAGGCTACCCTCCTTCGACGACAGGACGATTCTGGGCATGGTGTTCGATCGGACCAATCGGTACTCGTCACCGGGGTGCCTCCTCTTCTTCTTGAACGTACCGCACAACATGTTTCGTTCGACAGTCGTTCACCGTTAAGAGAAATGAAAACAGTCACTGGCCGACGAGGCTCGTCGGATGGAGACCGCCGATATCTCGCGGATTCACGCGATCATCTGTAAATCTCCGAGACCTTCCTGTTCCACTCGCTCCTCGCGAACGTGTCTTCCTAACTGTCCGAACGGGTTAACGTCCCTGGAGCGGCGGCGGACTGCTCCTCGAGCGGATTCGCGTCCCTTTAACCGGTTGCAAACGCGTTGACTGATACGCTCCTGGGATTCCTATGTTCCATCCACGTACACGAACGAACACACGGAAAACTGAATATTTTTTCTCGCTCACAGCAGCATGGCGCCGCGTACAGATTCCTGCATCTATTTAACTGTCTCCTCCGGCTCCGCGCCGCTCAACCGACTACTCTTCTCGCCTCTTTTATTTCTCGATGCTCTCTTCTGCTCCTCTAAATCGTTCTCCCACCGCTTTCGGCATCTCTTTGCGTTCCGTTTTCTTTTTCTTCTGTTCGGACCTCTCGTTGCGGCTTCCACGACGCTCGCTCCAGCCTCCTCGGCTCTGTCGCGGCACCCACCTACTAATTAAACGGCCGGCGACGCGTACGCGGCGTGTACGTCCCACGGCGCACCGCGACCGATTCTCCGTTCCGAGCGGGAACGAGGTGATCGACCGGTAAAAGGAACTGGTCGACTATCGATCTCTGGATCGACCGTGACGGTCGCGCGACTCCGGCTCACGACGGGGTTCACCGAGAACGGGTTCACGGTTTTGAAACAGTGTCTTTTATCACGATAACCATACAAGCACTACGTATCGTTTTCGATTGTCGAATCCTCCTGATCGGACCTGATGATCTGATTTTTATGTCTCCTTCATCGAATCAATTTATCCTCTCGTGATTATTGCGATCGATAATTAATTTCCATTGAACGCGACGACTGTCCTTCTGTGGTTCCTCTACGAAACGATATCTCGCGGTGTGATCTTCTTTTTCGGATGACCGATTTCTTGCACGGGTAATTAGATACCGATCGCGGTAACAGCTCACCTGCCGCTAATGCACGGCCCCCGGTTGCGGATTACACGGAATGGTTAATTAACGGAATCTCAGCCAGCTCGAGTCGCAGTGAGAGCCGAGAGTCGACTGAAGGCATAAGGCCACGGTTGTGGTCGTCGAAGGAACCCCACCACGTTGATTTCAACAACACCCGGCACCCGGCCCGACCGGACGACCTGGTCGCGTGGCGCTCGGCACAGATACGCAGTGTTTCTCAAAATCCTCTCCTTTTCGTTTTTTGCAGAACCCTCCCCACCCTTCCCCGACACACCTTTCCGTTCCGTGTCTTTGTCTCGATTATGCTCTGGAAAGACGAGTTCGCGAACTCGTAAAATCGGTATCGTTCTATCAGGGACACGATCTTCAATTATTTTCTGAACAATACGAACACATATTGACTCTACATATTTTTATACGTTTCCAAGGTAGATGTTTATCAAGGATCATTTTCTAGTTATGTCATCGTGAAGTATTGACGATTCAAAGTGATTTAGGATTCTAATCTTGCATGAAGAACACGGTATGCGCGCTAGGAGCAATCAGTTATCGGAAAGTTGTATTTCAACCTGACAAGGTTTTCGTGTCTTACTGCAATATATTATTACGCCATTTATCGACGACTATCTAGTCGTAATTGTAATAACAACTTTCTCGCTTAATGAAATACCTACTTCAATGCACAGCCGTTTTCCTGGTAATAAATAATAAATATATTATATATAAATAATCATTTCTGTTGCTAAACGGACATAGTGAAGAATCTCTGATTAAGAAAAATTGCGTGATTAGATATGAACAATGAAATGTTCATCTAACGTCCGACCGAAGAACCGCGTTTGCCTTGCAATTAACTCGTGTAATTTCGTCGTTTCACGTCTGGAACGATCGCTTAATTAGCGCCGCGGAAGCACCGTCATTGGCCATTGTTACCGAGAATCTCAGCCAAGTTCAAAGTGGGTTCTTTTACTCGCAACGGCTCGAACAAAGCGGCTCGTTCCACATCCTCTGGGAAATTCTTCGTTACACAACGGAACAGATTCGCGGGAGGCACGCCTACGAGTGAGATAACTTCGAAGGACTCGTTGCGGGTCTTACCTCTACGTGGAGGGAAAAAAATACGAGGAAGTATCGCGATTCAGATGACCCAGTTCGCGCTCTTGAATTTCAGAATCGACGCTCTTTCTTGTCCCAAGGATCTATTGTGGCATCGTCAACGCGATACCATCGTCACTCGACAAATTTTTCACCGTCCGTGTAACTTACGTCACAATTGCTTGGATCAAATTTTATATTACGATCTTTAAATATCTTCTTTCATATTCATTCATATTTTATAAATTCATAGAATAATCAGAAACGTTAATATAATTGAGCAATAAATAAATGATAAATGTTTTCAATTTTCTTTATGCATTATAACATCTTGAAATGTGTCGTATTAAAGACCATGCCTGACTGAATGTAGGTCAAGCGATGCGAGATACATCGGCACGGGGACATCTGTCACGTTGTGTAACGTTACTGATTATCGCTATTAATATCGAGACCGAAGGCTCTTTTCGCGCGCGAATATCTGCGGTTTCAACCGATACCCGGAGCCGGTAATTTCTCGCGTCGACGAAAACCTATTATTTCCCTGCTTCCTCTACCCATGATCACTGCTCATTGAGCAGAAGGATAGAACGCTTCCTGTCCTCGTTGCGAGCACGACGGACAGAACATTGTGAAAATAAAATATACGAACTTAATTTGCAGTAATGAAAACGAAAGATGAAAAGTGTAAATGTTGCAGGAGATTTATCATTGACTTCGTTCTCGCGGAAACGATTAATTTCTTTCAAATAGATAAACGAATATGAGAGATTTCTACTCTTACATCAGCTTTTCACTCGAGCCAAGAAAAAAGTACATTCAAAGCTCGTAACGACCGGTAAACACTTACAACGTGAGACTAATATCACTCTAATTAGTCGAGGAGAAAAACGTCGAGGATCGAACGTTAGCTTCCTAACTTTCCAAACGAAAGCAATCAAACGTAACTATAGAGCCTAGGAGCTGGAGGGTTAGCGAATTTATGAAAACGGGTACGCCTCCGATATAAATTAGCGTGCAACTCGGTGCCAGGCAACTTTATTCGCGCCGAATAACATGCGGCGGTACGATTATCTTTTCCGCCCGTAATTTAGCTTGCCGTCATTTTTGCCCCGGGTTGCAATTTAAACTGCAAACTCGTACCAAGTTGACCACCGTCGTAGTCGTCGACGCTCGATGACTAATATAAAGGCAGAGTGACCAGTGAATTTGCATCAGAATTGCAATGACGATTATACACGCTGCACACAAGCGTGGGACAATCGTAACGAGGGTGTTTCATGCACCCTTCGCGTCAGAAATTGCAGATATGCAATTTTCCCGTGAATCATCGCTACCCTAACGAAACAAACATCGCGATTATTTGAATGTTCGCAAAAATATAGGAATATTTCTAATATCATTGAATGTCATAAGAACGATTATGAATAATTTACGGAGTATAGATTTACCGAGCAAACATCCGGTTCTAAAACTACCCGTTTCGAACGAGTAAAAAATCCAACATGAAACAGCTACCACAGCAATGGAATCAGTCACTTAGGTACTTCTCAGCAATAAACCTATCACGCGCGAAAGGCGACCGGAAGAGCTTGCCAGCAATTAGCCGAACGTCAAAACGTCCCGTTTCGTACCTAACGAGTAATCGAGCTCTTAAAACGCGAATGGGATTGTTCTTTCTTCAATTACACAGGTAATTGCAACTTCAGTTTCTCTACCTCAATAATTGTCAGTTGCTGCGCTCGTTATTACGGCAACGATCGTCGAGATTCGTAATTACGGAGTCACAACTGTGACGAGTGCCCGCGACGAGACGATTGCGCGTGGCTCGCTAAGAACAGTTGTCGAACTATCGAAAAGCGTATTACCGTTTACAAGTTTTTTAATCGTTGTTAGAAAATCTGTTCAAATGTCAATTATTCAAGATAGGAAATAATTTCCTTAATCGGTTCAACGATTGAACAGAATTTCGCGAAGTAATATCTGGTCCGCAAACTAATCTCTCGATCTCTAAAACGATCTCAAAGAGCCGGATGAAAAATTTGAGAATCCCTGTTAGGTCGCAGGTTTTACCTGAAGGGTACGCATGCGCCACGACCGACAGATGTTTCCTCCTGGCCAACTGTTGCACGGCCGCTGCGACGAGAGGCGAGACTGCATCTGATTTACCAAAGAAAGAAAGAAGCCGAGAGAAGAAAGGAAGAAAAATCTATCTTTCCTGTGGCCCTTCTGCCCCGTCGCGGTAGAGCCACGAGTCGAGTCCTTGGAAAGAGAGAGACTGGAAGGAAGAGGCTTTTTGTCGAGGTCGCCTCCGAAAGGATCCCCGAGGAATCGACGCAGACACGAGGGTGGAGGACCGCCCCTATTTAGAGCGGCGAGAGTAGGCAGCCTTTATGTCGTTAGACTCCGATCAAACCCGGCGATAAGCGAGAGATCGCGTCGGGAAACGAGCCTGAACCCTGCGTCGCTGCTGACCCAAAAAGTGAAATTTATTGCGAATCCAATTCTCCCGGTTTAGGCTCCCGATCCCTTTACTGTCCGTTTATTGTTCATAACATCTCTGAAGCCGCTTTACGAGACGGTCGGGTCTTCTTTGTTGCATTATTGAGAGCTTCGAGGTACTCGAGTGTGTATACGAGCCACGCTGGTTAACAAGTGTTCCGTCAACTGGGTGACTTGTCTCAATCTGGACAATTATACCAAATTTTGCTCCACGCGTTTTATATCTTTTTCTCGTATTTCATAATATTCTTTTTAATTTTCTTAAATGACGCGTTTGACTTTTTTTCTAATCATCTGTACATCTAAGATGTCTCGAAAGAATCATCAGTCGCGTTGTTCGTCCGTGACGATAGATGGGAGAACAAATAAAAAAGCATGACGGGCCAGGAGAAGACAGTTCTGGAAGGCTCGTTAGAAGAGGCCGCAGACGCATCAGCGTCATCGGAGTCGAAAACGAGCCCGCGAAGAGACCACCTGCTCATCCCGTGGTTACGGGACCGAACGCGGTCCACGTTACGAGCACGCCGGTGAGATTTATCGCGTATGGAATATCGAGTGGCGAGGGGTACCGGCACTCCTTATTACAGCTTATTAAGCGGCAGTAAACCGCGTATCCATGATCCAGGAACCGGTCACGAGCGAGAAGCAGATCTCCGGTATCACCTGCTTCTTGCTCCGTCCCTCTTCCCCGTTTTCCTTCGTCCCCGTCCTTCCTCTTGTTCACCGTTTCCTTTTTCTACCGTGATTCACGTATTCTTTGTTGCATTATTGAGAGCTTCGAGGTACTCGAGTGTGTATACGAGCCACGCTGGTTAACAAGTGTTCCGTCAACTGGGTGACTTGTCTCAATCTGGACAATTATACCAAATTTTGCTCCACGCGTTTTATATCTTTTTCTCGTATTTCATAATATTCTTTTTAATTTTCTTAAATGACGCGTTTGACTTTTTTTCTAATCATCTGTACATCTAAGATGTCTCGAAAGAATCATCAGTCGCGTTGTTCGTCCGTGACGATAGATGGGAGAACAAATAAAAAAGCATGACGGGCCAGGAGAAGACAGTTCTGGAAGGCTCGTTAGAAGAGGCCGCAGACGCATCAGCGTCATCGGAGTCGAAAACGAGCCCGCGAAGAGACCACCTGCTCATCCCGTGGTTACGGGACCGAACGCGGTCCACGTTACGAGCACGCCGGTGAGATTTATCGCGTATGGAATATCGAGTGGCGAGGGGTACCGGCACTCCTTATTACAGCTTATTAAGCGGCAGTAAACCGCGTATCCATGATCCAGGAACCGGTCACGAGCGAGAAGCAGATCTCCGGTATCACCTGCTTCTTGCTCCGTCCCTCTTCCCCGTTTTCCTTCGTCCCCGTCCTTCCTCTTGTTCACCGTTTCCTTTTTCTACCGTGATTCACGTACGCCAGGATGTGTGACGCGCATACACACACACATTCTCAGGGGACGGCGTCTTCAGCTTATTTCGCACCCCTTC